GAGGCGATGGACAGACCAAATTAGGAGTCCAGCCCAGATTAAGACACCAGTAAAAGGCCAATTTAAGATGTATGCAAGCATATGATGGCTTTGCTGGAACAAAGGAATATGCTAACAGGATAAAAACATGAACAGTATGATGATCACAGGGAAATGAATTAACAGTACCCAGAAATCAAGAATCAAAAGAATAAAGTTGAAGAAATAGCATTGGGGGGGGGGCAACAAGGAAGTTGCGGGGGGTGTCAACATCTAGCAACATCTGGACTGACAAACAGCCATCACCCACAGACTACCCCCTACTTACAAGAACTGACTTCACCTTTTCTGTGAAGTAGAGTAACATCTGAGAACAAAACAGAATAGAATAGGACACAATTCAACAAGGACAAATGCAAAGTGCTGGGAGAAGGAGACACCAGCACACTTACAGGCTGGAGGATGACCCTCTCAGCAGCACTGTAGCAGAAAGGGATCTCCGAGTCATAGTTGACTCCAACATGAACATGAGTTGTCAATGTGATGAAGTGATCAGTAAAGCTAACTGCACTTTATCATGCATTAGCAGGTACACCACAAATGGGTCCAGGGAGGTGATACTTCCCCTCTATGCAGCACTGGTGAGGCTGCAGCTGGAGTACTGAGTGCAGTTTTGGGCGCCGCACTTCAACAGGGATGTGGATAACCTTGAGAGGGTCCAGAGGAGGGTCACTCGTATGGTTAGGGGCCTGCAGGTAAGGCCCTATGAGGACAGATTGAGGGACCTGAATCTCTTCAGCCCCCGCAAGTGAAAGCTGAGAGGTGATCTTGTGGCGGTCTACAAATTCATTGGGAGGGGGGACCGGCAAGGGATAGGAGATGCTCCGTTTACCAGCCACCCCTCAGAGTAACTAGAAATAATGGCCACAAACCAACAGAGAGCAGATCCAGGTTGGACATCAGGAAGAACTTCTTTACAGTAAGGGTTGCCAGGATCTGGAATGGGCTCCCAAGGGAGGTAGTGCTCTCCCCTACGCTGGGGGTCTTCAAGAGGAGACTGGACAAGCATCTGGCTGGGGTTATCTGATCCCAACGCTCTTTCCTGCCGGCAGGGAGTCAGACTCATTGATCTGCTGAGGTCCCTTCCAACCCTAATATCTATGAATCCGAGATTGGGCGAGACCACTGGACAAAGTGTTTTTCTCTCTCCCTATGTAGAAGTTATTAAGATAACATTTAATGTATTATTAAAAGTTAGACAAGGTTCTTTGGGTAAATCCGATATCTTATTAGACCAACTCAGATAGTTAGAAAAATTCTTCTTAGCAAGCTTTCGGGCACAATCTCCCTTCAACAGGCTGAGGAAGTGTCTGCAGATGGTCTGTGCTCTTCCTGTAAAGCAGCCAAAGACCAGTATGTATGCAAGAAAGCCAGTGAGTTAAAATACAAATTGAGGTGGTCAGTAAATGAGAAACAGGTCCAGGGGGGGGGGATGAGAATAGCTGGTAAGAAGTGGAGGGTTTACCTGGGGAGTCAGAGGTCAGGCAGGTTGTGCGTCATAAATCCAATGTCTATATTTAGTCCATGATGCACCCAAGAGCTTGATAAGAAGAATTTTTCCAGCTATTTGGGTTGGTCTAATAAAAGATACTGGATTTACCCAAAGAACCTTGTCTGCCTATGTCCTTAGACCAACACTGCTACAACCTACACCCTTAATAAAAGTTAGATTTTAATTAAGTTGAACTGTGAGGCATATTCCATGTTAAACTCTAGGTTGATTATGCTTTGGCAATCCGTTAGCACAATGAGCGTAACAAATGGACCCTTTGGGCTGATGTGATGGAGGTACGGGTCACTAATGGAGAGGCAGTGTCACTGCATGTTGTAAAACCTGAGAATCCTCAAGGGGTTATTGATGGGTATTCACGTGGTACCCTAATTGTACTGAGGCAATTTAACAGAATCCATATTCTCCTGTGCTGGACCTTGGGAGTCACGGACAGAAAGGAATGCATCTCTTTAGTGCACTAAAGCCAGGTTTGCTAATATTAATGCAAGTTAGTATGGAAGAGATCATGCCATTAGACTTTGCAGGAACTGTTAACTCCAAAAATAAGCTGCTGAAGCATATGGAACACAGAAAAGGGAGAGGAGAGTTTGTTTGGTTTTTTTTTTTTGTTTTTTGGTTTTTTTTTTTTATACACAAGAGGTATTAAACACGTTAGGCATCTCCAAACCTTAAGATGCCTTGGGGAGGGGAGAAGGCAGAGGCGGGAGAAGGGGCAGCTTTCACTGAATAAGAACACTTTGGCTTCCAGGCAAAAATAAGAGCCCTTAAATTAACATCTCTTTATTTTCCTAGGAAGTGCAAATGCTTAAAAAAAAAACAAACAAACATGCAAGCAGGAACAGTTTGATTTAAAGCAGTGGTTGCCAACCTTTTTAGACTGCAGACAGGCAAACTGGAGGACCAGAAGTGACCGCAGACTACAAACTACAAACCAGCATACTGCAGATCAGAAGTGAACAGCATACTGTGGACCGGGAGCCAACTTTTTATATTTAATATAAAAAAAGGGTTGGCTCCCAGTCCGCAGCATGCCAGTCATTTTCGGACTTCTGGTCTAGCAGCCAACCCTCCTGTGGACTGACAACCAACCCTTCGCAGCCCAGGGCTCAGGAACCTCCTATTTAAAGGACAAGAGACAGTTTGGTTCACAAGCTTCAAGTGTTTGGCTCAGAACATCTCAGTCACGGTGATCACCTTTCCTCTTGGTGTCTGCTTAGGAACCCTGGTGGGCTAGCACGGTGCAGCACAAGCCTCACGTCTGCACTGGACAGATCACAAAAACTCTGCTCCTGCAGCCAGTTATCACCACAAGGTTGGAAGGAGCTGGGGTAGGGTTTTTTTGTGGCAACCAACCACTCCTATGGGTCTGCAGAACTACAGCTGCTGAATACAGCGGCGGACCCTCGAAGCCGATACAAACATGGGGGGAGGGGGGAAAGGAGTAGATAGCACAGCAGTTTTGGTGGAGCATGCTTCCCAATTAAGATGCCCGTTTGTTGTTGCTACAGAAACAGCAGCTAGAAACGTATCCATCTCTACCCTCCTATATCACAGCAAGGCACTATTCCACTCCAGGAAGCCCTTCTTGCCCTGCCAGGTCCTTGGTTGCTGCAAGTACTTCTGTGCCAGGTCCTGCCTGGAAAAAATAACTCTTCCCTCTCTCCCCCTCCCCATTTTGGACTGCTTATCCTCAAGAAGCCCTCCCCTTGTTTCTCAGAGGCTTCTACAAGGCCAATGAAGTGTCTCTTCTGTTGCTTTCTCAAGTTTATCAGACATCAGGCAGCTGTTAACAGCAGTGTCCTTGAAAGGCTGGGTGCCTCAAGTACCAAACCTGTAAGACAAGAAAATGCAACAAGCAGTTATTCCACACAGTCTGGTTATTACAGTGGAAACTGAGCAATCTACTTGAACATTGTTCTGGAAAACCACATTGACGCTCCGCTCTCACCATGCACATTTAAGGGATAAGGCTTGGGGTTTTCCAAGACTCTGGAGCAGGTGGCACACGAACACACAGTACAGAGGGCAAGTGGGATAAGGTGACAGGTGGCCCTCCACTGAAACAAGCAACTAATTGGTGAACAGCAGTTAAATAGGCTGGTGCAGAGGCCTTAATTTTTGAGGATGTGGCAGGGCTGTGAGGGCCTGAGCAAAAGGGAGAGATACGGCTGCCAAGGTCATTTCACAGCAGAGAGGTGGAATGTATCTGCCAGTTTGAGGGCATAGGAAAAAAAAAAAATGCAGTCACTCTGAGGGGGCAGGACTCGGAGAAGCCATTTGCTGATACACCCCCTAAAATATAAACCACCGTCTTGGGTGCGTGGGTGGGAGGAAACCAAGGGCAGGGCAGCCATACAAGTGGAAAAAGCAGTGGATTTCTAATAAAGGCAATGCAATGATACTTACCAGCCTCCTCCACACCACAGCTGCAGTCCAAGTGTTTTCAAGGACAAAAGTTTGGCTCGCAACAAGGATGGAGGCCCGGATGTCTACTCCCGTCTCTGAGGTGTCAGCTGAGTCGTCATGTTAAATAACTCCCAGTTGTCAGGCACGTGGTCACCGGTCCTACAGTCCTTGGTGTCCTTTTGCCGCCTCCGAGGCAAAGCATGAGTTGATGCTGGCTTTCCGTGTCCAAATCCCGTCTAGTTCCTCATTAAATGGACAGGTGGCTGGCCCACTGCCAGAGGTCCAGATGTCATCCTTTGCTTTCTTGTAAGCTGTCTTCACATCCTTCATCTTCAAACACAGAACTACAGGGGCTCTTGGCTGTGACCCCACCCTGATATCACCTTAGATATCCTTCTTTCGTAGGACTTTTTGTCCTATACACAGTTCCCAGAATTTACTGTCTTGTTGCCTCTCCCTAGCAGGCTGCACACCCGGGACCTCAGCATGGCCCCAAGAGGAAACATGGCAAAGCAGCATGGAACAGCTGGAAGAAAACACTAAGTGCATGGAGCATGCAAACGCAAATAAACCAAACCTGGCCACACTCCAGCATTTGAACAGGAGGGGATACCTGATCCCCACGACCCTACTGTAGTAGACAGCACTCAAGTAAAGAGCAAGGCAGCGTGGGAAGGCAGCTGGAAGGCAGCCCGAACAGCTCCAAGCAGATATGGAAACAAGGGAAATTGCTACACATTGGAGTTGCTGCCAGTTCCAAGAGGGGTAAGAAACACTTGCTTACCAGTTACCTCCGACTAAGAAACAGCGTCATGTGGATGGCGATATTTTTACATTTATGCAACCTGTTTATACCGGTTTACGCCACCCACGTAGACCAGCCCCAAAATGGTCATTCAGCAACAGTGTACGAAATAGTGAGAGGCACTTTTAAGACTGACTCTCTACTTCCCCTCTGCTTAATCTGATTCTTGTAGTCCAAGCCCAGGAAGATTACTTAATACAAATTAAAAACCACTAAAGAAAGCATGAACTGACTCACCTCGTCATACAGGCGAGAACACACAATGCCGCTGTACTTCCAGACTTCGGCCCAGAAATCCGGGTAGAACTCCAGGGACCACTGGTACAACTCGTTGTAGTTGGCTAGAAGCAATAGATAATATTTATGATTACATGTGTACACATTTACAAAAAGTAATACAAAAATAGGCAATGGTTTCCTTCAAAAACAAAAAAAAAATTTTAATGGAAATCTACTAAGTGGAGCAGGAGAGTAGAAAAGTCAGTGGAACAGAAGGAAAAGAGGAGAGAGTCACATGAACGCATCTCACAAGGAACGATCTGATCCATCCAAAGATAAACAGTTGTTTCCCTTTTCGGGGCCTCCTGTACCAGCTGTCAAGCAGAAATTACTGGCCCACCTGAACAACTAATGGACTGTTTCAGCTTCCTTGACTGCTTTTGCAGCCATTAATTAGACTGAGAGATGGGAATGTATTTATTTAGAAACAGTTTGTACCCACGTGCCTCACTGAAACTCACAAGAGCTATACCAACAGAACGGCACCCAAAAAGCTTGCCAATTAAATATTTCTATTTCTTATGAAGGGCATCAACAGTAGACTCAAATGTGGCACCAGAGGGAACAGGCCAGTCACCGACAGTGCCCTGCCATCTATGACAGCAATACACTAGATCGGGGTAGGCAACCCCCGGCACGTGTGCCAGAACGTGGCATGCGAAGGCATTTTCCTTGGCACTCGCATCTCCAGAAAGGGGCCAGGGCTGTGCTGCCATAACAAGGATCGGGACTCTTGCAGCCTCCCCGCCGTCCACCCCTGGCACACCAACATCTTATAAGTTGAGGAGGTGGGCGTTTTTGGCACTGCCCAAAAACGTTGCCCACCCCTGCACTAGATCTTGGTTCCCACAGCAAGGTCTGGAAAGCAAAGGGAACAGCTTCTCCACAGCAAAGCTCATTATTTAGAAATATGTAATCTTCCCCAAACTCTTCTAAACTAAGTGTATAGGGGCACCCCACCCTTTTACTCAAGGGGAAAGCAAAAGGTTAGGGCTATGTTCCCATGGTATTAGCTACACTGAGCCATCAATGTAACTGAATCTCATGGTGCATTAACCAGAGTACAGCCCCATGAATCTAACAGATCAATTGCTCTGTCCACCTCCACTGTAAATTGTACACGACTACAGTGCAGGGACAAAAGCTTCCCTAGGTCATTCCAAGGATTATGTGCACACACACATTTAGTAAAATTCAGGTACTTATTATATAGTTGTTCCTGTGCCTCTGGAACAAGAAATCTTTAAAAAAAAAAAAAACTTGAAACATATGGTATCTGATTTTCACAGTATACATTAGCTTCAGCTACAATGAAATGCTCAGCACTTTTAAAAGTCAGGTCCTGGCCATCTCAAACTGAGCATCCAGGCTAAATACAGACACTCAAAAGCCCTACTGTAAATCAATTTGATCTTTGCAGGTTACTCCAAGCTGCTTATCGGTTCAATCTACGCAAGTGAACACTCACTTTTGATTCCAGAAATGCATCCGCATGCCTGCAGTGACCCAAGCCAGAAGCTGGGAGGCGCTAAAGCACACCTCCCTGCTCGGCTGGAGCAGACAGCTTGGACCAAGGCTGGCCCACCTACTCTGCAAGGGCGGGGGTTGCAGTGTGCAAAGCATTCTGGGATGTTGGGGGACTGCAAGTTAACTTGAATCTGAAGAGGATCTGGGACAGAAGTTCAATAACCTGATTTAACCTAAAAATTAGTTAAGTCTGATACTACATCCATCCAGGTTTATCTTAAGCCAGTTTCAGCCATCTTGAAAGCAGTTTATGTGCACTGAACACCTGTTGTGTTACAGATCTGAACCAGTTTCCAATCACTTATACTGGTTTGTGTGTAATTAGTGTCCCTAGCCCCAGTGCTTAAGGTACCTAAAACTACAAGCTTCAAAAAGATAAATCTTAACCTCTTTACGCCTCCACAGCTCCCCATCTGTAAGTAGAATAACCCCCATATTTGCATAGCATTTTGAGATATCCAGAAAGAAGTTTTAAAATATCATCACTCTTCTCCTTTCAGCATAGGCCCCCTATGTACCAACAGTTGCCATTTCACTGCCAACAAGTGACAGAGCCAGAAGTGGTTATAACTACATCGCACACGTTGATATTTTAAGAGTGGGAAGCACCTGTCTTTTTCTCAGACTAGATGACAGCAGCCACCTTAGATGCCAAGGTGGAACTGAGAGGTGCACTTCTCAGTTCATGTCTGTCACTTCCAATTTCTCTCTTCTGGTCACCCCTCATATGCTCCACTTCTGCCAAGCCCCACCTTTTTTTTATTTTTTTATTTACACCTACAAATATGTGAATCCTTCCCTCTCCATTTCAGCATCTAAGACATTCACATTAATCACTGCATTCTCTCTTTCCCAGGACTACCTCATTCATCTTTGGCAGCAGTCGAATTTTTGGATTGACTGGAAGAATTGGTGTAAGCCATTACCAGATGCTCCCTTACTTCTCACAGACCTACAGCGGCTCCACTCTTCCACCAGACCCTTCGAAACTTTGTCCTCAACTCCATTCTCACCTACATATCTGCACTAACCCCCACCTCCTACATTTTACTCTGCACACGACACCTAAGCTTCTCCCTTTACTACCCAATTTGTCCCCACACCAACCTATAGATTGGGATAACCCTCTGTTAAAATACCTCAAGATCCCCTCTGTTTCTCCCTTCAAGAAACCATTAGAGAGCAGCAAGAACAGTTGCACGTTTTACTAATCATTCAAGCTCTTGGAGATGGCCAATCCCTATTCTACTGTCTCCATCCCGTCAGTCCTGTTTATCCTTGTTTCAGCCTCAATTTTCCTAAGCTTCAGGGCAGACCCGTCATGTGCATGGTACTGACATGCCAATGGATATCAGGAGGTGCATGCAACATAACATCATGTACATCGATAACCAGAGCTCTCTAGATGTGTGCACAGACCTAGGACCCCAACACACAGCCATCTGCATAGAAGTGAGCACCCGGGCAGGGGCCGACTCAAATCTGTGCGCCCGCGTCCTCATCTAACACCACAACAGAACCACGGCCAGCGCTTTAGAGCAAAAAGACCAAGCTGCTACCTGTGCAACTCATATAACCGAGTCTGCAGATAAAGACGTTGTTTCGGGCTCAAAAGGCTAGTTACGTTCATTCAGATACTTCATTTTACACGCGCGTGTGCAAACGCTACGGCTCCCGAGACTAGTTTGGAGCGCGGTTATGTTTTCTTTGCATCACGGTCCACCGTACGGGACCTCAATTCTCATCTCCTTCATATTGTAAACCCAGCATGTGAAGTCTACACACACAGCCCCCCGGAGGGGACATCTCTCTGACGTACAATCGATGCCCTGGATTTGACACGTTTCGGGATTGGAAGCCGAAGTTGAGCGGGAAAGGGTTTCGTGTCCCAAAACTGAGATGAAACCGGGACGTTCTGAAACACTGACATTTTACACCACTCGGTAACCTCGTAAAACGAGGTCCGAAAAATTCACCCGGATGAATACAAGTCCCTTGTTTGCGGGTACCAGGGTAACGCCGACGACACAACGCCGACCCCTCCGTCGGGATCTCCATGCACCGCGCGGGAAGTGCCCCGCCTTAACGCTTTGCCCGTTGCCGTTTGCTGCCCGCCGCCGGTCGCCGGAGAAGCAAACGCCGCAGATTTAAAACCACGATTTTTGCTTCCTCGGCGAGGCAACGAACGGCCCGCTCCGCCCACCGGGGACGGCGAGCGGAGAAATAAAAGGCGCTTGAGGAGCGGCTGACGGACATCCCCACCCGCAAGGTGATTTTCCTGAAGGAGAGGTGCGGCTCGGGGCATAAAACCCGGCGCACTCCCACTTTGGGGCGCCCGACTCCAGCACCCCCCGGCTCTGCGGGGTGTAGATCGGGGGTCGGCAATGATTTTGGCCAAAAATACGTGCAACGTCGACGCGGCGGCGATTGTGCTCCCAAACCCGGCGAGGTGTCATTTGAATGCGGTGCGGGGGCACCGCCACAGCCCTCCCCGGGCGACCCCCGCCCCGCTCACCCAGGCGGAGGCCGTAGGCGCAGGCCAGGGCGGCGCGGAAGCGGTCCATGTGCGTGTTGCGCTTGGAGTCGGGGTCCCACATCACCCGCGCCTCCATGATCTCCGGCTCGCGGGACATGGCGGCGGACGG